AAAGTACTTTTTTAATTGAGATTATTATTTAAAGAAAACTTTTCAAACTAATATTAATTTTTACTGAATTAATTTATGATTAACTAACCATTTAACATTAAAAATAACAGCTTGAATTTATAATCCTATCATTTCACTCATTTCATATCACTTTTAAACTACTATTTAAGCTTCTACCAATGCTACTAAATTACTAAAATTAATGCTTTATAAAGAATTTTCAAAAAAAAACTTTTTTTTTATGAGAAAAATTTTATTTCACTACCATTAATTTTTCTTTTAATTTCATTTTAATAAATTGACTATATTCATAAGCATTTTAGCAAATAGTAACAGTGGTAATTTGCTTGATAGTCGGATGATAGAGAGAAAAAGAAGCAAAAATAAGTTGCAAGAAATAATTGTCGCCTTGTTTTCTTCTGCTATTCATAGAGGACAGTCACAGAAATGGTGACATTATGGTGTGACACTTCATAAGCGATCCCTCATATACTTTTGGTCGTTTAAGTATTACTGATGATTGATTTCCCAATACAGTAAAATATTTAATACAAACATAACTTGGAAAATAATCAGTAAATTTAAATTTCAAAATTACAAATTTCAAAATTGAAAAAATTTAAAAATGAGTATGGAAAGAGATGTGTTGACAGAAGTAATGAGAAAGAGAGAGAGGGAGAGAGAGAGAGAAAAGGAAGGATAATGGATAGGAGAGAGAGGGAAAGAACTTGGTGACATTGATAATTTATTGAGAGCAAAGAGATTTGATTAAATTTCCATGTCGAATATGCGTGAGTTTTATGTTTTTTGAGTATTAGCAATAACTTTGCATATGCTGCTGCTACTTTTTTTTTTGCTATTATTACTTTTTCTAATATAAATAATATAAAATTATAAGTGAGAGATAGAAATTTAAAAAAAAAAAATGGAAATTTTTTAATTTTAACTTTTATGGATGGAAAAATTAGTGGTTTGAAGTGAAAAATCATCAATTAGAAAAAATGATTTACACTACTAAATCACATTTTAATTTACATTTGAGTCAAAGATCTATTTCAGTTTAAAAAATATGGAAATGAAGCAAATTTGTTCTAATCATATCACTATTATTATCAAGAGAACTTCTTTCAATAATGAATAAAGATCTGTGATAAGTGAAAGTAAAATGAAAGATTTTCACTTTCTTTTAATTTGGTATTTCCGAGTTCGCGCAGGTCACGTACACGTAATTGTTACTTTACGTGGATACAGCATATAATGTATACGCATTATTTTTTTGGAATTGTATCAAATGCTATTAAAAGAAAACAGGAAAGTTTACCCTTTTCAATTTTTCCTTGAATTCTGTGAATAAAATCAAAATAGTCAATAAATTTAAGAGTACTCATTGGACTAATTTTATTTGAGTGAAATTAAGCTAAACTAAATTACATTAATTAGAATTTAATTAAATTAACCTAACTTCTTATGTGCATTAGCATAGCTTAATTTTTCTGCCAAAATCAAAGAATGTATTAATAAAATGCTCAAAAGTATTTCTAATTTGAAAAGAAAAATGTTTGAATGGTCAATGATTAATTCCAAATAAGAAACAATTTTGAATGATTAATAAAATAAAGACATTACTTCAACAATCGGTAAGTGATTATTAATTAACCAAAATGCATCTCGATGTGTTCTAACATGCCTTGGCCTTTATGTCATCTTTACGTGCCCTAAACATGCCTTGGCCTTTATGTCATCTTTACGTGCCCTAAACATGCCTTGGCCTTTATGTCATCTTTACGTGCCCTAAACATGCCTTGGCCTTTATGTCGTCTTTACGTGCCCTAAACATGCCTTGGCCTTTATGTCGTCTTTACGTGCCTTAGGCATGTCTTTATCTGTCTTATTTTTACGTGGCTCAAATGTGCATTAGTCTATGTCTCATTTATATTCATTTGCATTATTAAATGAAACGATGATAAAAATTTAAAATGAGCGAAATTGAATTAAATTTGATCAATAAAGTGAAACAAAAAAAGCGTAAATTATTGAGCAGAAATAGGAATCACTGATTGGAAGTATGATTAGCAATCATTATTGATTATCAGTGATCAGTGGTGATCACTGCTTGTGTTGCCATTTTATGATCGAAAGGAGGGAAAGAGCAAAATGTCTTTTGATGTTAGCAATGGCTATTGAATTCTTTTTAAATATTTGCTAAGATTATTTGTCAACTTAAGCTTTTTTTTTTCAAAGCTTTTTTCAAAATTTTCGACAAATGAAACACTGAAATATAATTTTGAAAAGGAAAAGAGGAAATTTAAAAAAAAAAAAACGAATTCTTTTTTCAGTTATAATTGGAAATAGTTAAATTAGATATTCAATTATTGGAAATGACTAAAAGAACACCAAACAGATCTATAATTTGAATCAACACACATTATAATAGCAAAGCATAAACAGTGGAAAAGTAAATTTAAAAAGCAGAAGGACAGAAATTAAACCTAGCATAATAAAACTAAAATTTATTCAAACATAGCTGTTTTACTGGAACGAAAAGAATGAAATTTGAAAGTTTACGTATTTTTTAAATGTATATAAATTTAAAATATTTTGTTATTTAAAAGATGAAAGTGAGGAAGAGATTGGATGGTAAAGAAAAAAGGAAGAGGAGTGGAAAGTTTGAGTAAGTATTAAATTTTACCCATGGGATTACTTAAAGATTATGCTAACAAGTTCATCAAAAGTAGTCAGAGAGTTTCTTACCCTTAAATGTTATATTTACTAATCACATATGCTTTTTAATCCTAAGCAAAAACTCGAAATTATTCCAAAATTCGGTTTCTTTTAAAGTATGCGTTTTTTTCAATGAAATAAATTTCTTTGGTATTCATAAATTCTAAATGGCTCAAATGGGAAAATTGCGCATCCAATTGCTACAATAATATGTAAAAATTTTTAATTTTCCGATGCAAAGAATTTGGCTTTAGATGTTGGCTATGATTAATACCTCTATTATAATACAGGTGTATTATTAATAACAGAACTAGAGGAATCAGAATATAGCGATAACGACTGAACTTCGATTCTCAATCTGCTTGGGATAGTGACAAAGGTCATTCTATCATTGCACTTAATCCAATAAAATGGCCATGAATGTCACATGGGTGAATTAAATTGTCCTCCATGTTTCATTCGAAACTTTAGATTTTAGCAGTTCAAAATAAAGAAGCAATTTAAGAGATAGAAGGCTAATCATATGGTTGAAATTTGCTGAAAGAGCAAAACTATCGGAAATTCATGTTGAATTCGAAATGAGTCCAATTAATACTTACAAAATTAAAAATTACTTTTCATTCGAGCTTTTCTCAGCTGTAAAACAATATTTCAACTTTCAATATTTGTATTTACTGATCAGCAAAAATGAAAAAATGGATGAAATTAAAGCCAAGATAAGATGGAACGAAATTTAAATGATTAGAATTTTATCAACTTTAAAAGAAAATGGTATTGTTGTGTGTAATACTTAAAAGTGTATCATTAATTAATTACTATAAAAACAAAATTACACATAGATATTTTTTCATTTGGAAAATAATAATTATTTTAGTATGGCAAAATTGCTTTATTTTGTTGTGCTCAGCTACAAACCATCCATCGCAGATGGCCTACAATTCTTCTCGAATAAAAGCAAAAGATGCTAAATTCAATTCTTTAGCTTATGTCTTTACTTGTTGACAACTTTTCAACTGAATGATTCATTCGCCCTCTGCGCCGTAAAGTACACAGTAAAGCCAAAATATTTCAGAGTTTTCTTTAGGAAAGTACTGGCGAAAGTTGCTATATCATGCAAAACTGTTGCACTTGTATACGTGGAACCAATGTGAAATCTTCGGTATTATGCAAATATTAGCGCTAATGTCCCATCTATAACTCTCGAAGAGTTATTTAAATGAGTGCTGTGTGGCCTGAGTAGCGCAGTTGGTTAGCGCGTCAGTCTCATAATCTGAAGGTCGTGAGTTCGAACCTCACCTCGGGCATCCCCGTTTTTGCTCTTTGATATGGTTGGTACACGTGTTCAACTGCACAAGCACTTCCAGAAATACAGAGTGTAAGGGCAAACAAACATCGCTGATCAATTGATAATCTTCGGGTCTAATCGATATTGATAATCTTATAATCTAATCGATAATCGATTGATCTCACTCCTAGGTCAACATACTGTTTAATAGTTTAATTTTGCTTTTTTTTTCAACAGTTTAAGTTTAATTTTGCTGTGATTCAAATCTCGTGCAAAATTTATCATTTATTTATCCGGAAATGACTCACTGTCTCTTGCTTACGTATATTTATTGTCCCTCCACTGAGACACTTACGTGACTGTTAGATATTTTAGCCGTTGCTTAGGGTAAAATCTCCCAATTTACCTTACAGTTATAGTTATCCGATACTTTCCCAAGCATTTTGGACTTTTTAGTACTTCCAACTATTTATTCTCATTTTCTATTAATAACAACTTACATTATTAACAGAAACTTACAGCAGAATTTAGAAATATTTAAAAATTCTTTACATTCCAAAGATTGAAATTATCACTAATATCATTTTTCATTCATTAGAGAGTACTGATAAGAGGACACAACGATATATCTGTGTTGTCGCGAACAAACGGTGTGTCCCTCTGTCGATCAGTTCACTGATATTTCAGAGTGTTTCTGTTGCTGTCAACAGCTGACCGAACTTTTGTTTATGTGTTTACAGGTAAAGCACAAAGATTACAGTGCTCTCTCTTTCAGGACAGTTCGATCGATCCTTGTAATCCACCGCTGCATTTATCAGTCTATCAAATAGATCTGTGTTCATGCACCTTGGGATACTGTAGTGGAAAGGTATGCAACATAAGACAGTAACTTTTCTCTACGTCAAATTCGATCGTTGTCTCAAGAGTGACCGACCGTTGGCTGAATTGATGAAATTATTTAGTATTATTGAGGAATGTTTTGAATGAAAGTCAATCATACATGAAGGCCAAGCAGGTTGTACCATGGAGGCCAAGCAGGCTGTACCATGAAGGCCAAGCAGGTTGTACCATGAAGGCCAAGCAGGTTGTACCATGAAGGCCAAGCAGGCTGTACCATGAAGGCCAAGCAGGCTGTACCATGAAGGCCATCAGGCTGTGCCATGAAGGCCAAGCAGGTTGTACCATGAAGGCCATCAGGCTGTGCCATGAAGGCCAAGCAGGTTGTACCATGAAGGCCATCAGGCTGTGCCATGAAGGCCAAGCAGGTTGTACCATGAAGGCCATCAGGCTGTACCATGAAGGCCAAGCAGGTTGTGCCATGAAGGCCAAGCAGGTTGTACCAGAAGGCCATCAGGCTGTACCAGATAAACTGAAAGGCAATGCAAAGAAAAGCCATTTTGTTTCATTTCTCGTTTATTTTCTATTTCAGTAATTTAAGGAATAGCTTAAAGAATTTCGAGGCCTAATGCAAGCAGTTTATTTCATAAATTTTTTTTTTTAAACTGAAACAACACTGTGTGCATTGTAATGACTGTGCATTAAATAAGTACCTAAAAAAAGTTTTGCTGAATTGATTGAGGAATGAGAGATGGAATTCATCCATCTTTGTCAAATTTACCTTTTCTGTTCCATTTATGCTTTGTCAAAGCATTTAATTGCAAATAAAACATTCATCAAACTGTTTTTTAAATGATTTTTCTCAAAAAATTTTGTAAATTTTATCTAGTTTAGCAGTGAAATTCAATCATTCTAACTACTCTATTTCAACTATCTTATCGGATCGATGTATCTGACAATGCATACCATCAGGATTTAAGGTAGGTAAACTGGGAAAGCCATTTGTTGGTTAGTCGACACCCACCTAAGTTATTCACCTGTGACCGTTTTCAAATTACTAATTCTGAATCATTAATTAGATTGACTGATTATCGCTATATGAGTAAAATTGGCCAATTTCAAGAAATGTCTTCAATCGTTCTCTTCTTGTAAAATTCCAATTTTTGTCTCTGTTTGCATTAAAATGGAACAACGGTATTCATTATCATCACCATCAAATTACCAGCAATAATTAATTAATAATAATAGCAATAAATAATAATGATAAATACCAATAATAATAAATAATAACAACAATAAGTAGATGAATAAACAAATGATAATAATGATAAATAGTAAAACAACAGCGATTTGTCTAATCGATGACTACATTACAGTTTGGCATGTGGTACAAAGGCGACAATATTAAAGAATCGAAGGAGAAACCAGTTCTGTCTCGGCGATGGACCCTCTACTGAAATTGTTTGCCAGCTGCTGCAGTCTTTGAGTCAACCAGCATTTCTCGACTGCAGCGGTACCGTCTGCAACCGCTGCGCAACTCACACGTCCATCTTCTACCTTTGTCCATCTCATCGATACGCATCAGAGATGCATCACAGCCACTTATCCCTATTGTTGCTTTTCACTTCTGTTTATCTTTCACTCGAATTTCGGTTTAAACGAACCAAAACGACGAAGTTTAACTCTTCCTTCTTGTTTTTGTCAAATTATTATTCAACTGGGAAAAGTGGTAACTACATAGAAATGATTTGACTGTAGTCTGAATAGTTCCGGAATAATATGTCGGAGTGTGTATTCAGGCTAGTCCGGCAAATGCTGGCTTGTGTTGATCCGAGCAGAAATTGGTTACGTACTTTTAGAAGCATTTCAAAGTAATCGACGAAGTATTTTGAAGTTTCCTCTCATTTAAAAGCTTCGCAATACACTGCAGTTGCCTTGATCCTCTTCTTTTGACTGTGATTCCGGAAATCCTGATGTGTTTCAGGACGATGATTGCAAGCTCCATCATTCTGATGGACAATTCCTGAATTCCTTCACTTTCTCTTTTACGCTGATAATAACTCAATGCTGAATAACAATTCCGGAATTAACGGTAACAATGATGATGTGACAGCAATGGATACCTGGGAGGATCGAAGGATATCGATAACACTTCAGTACGGCTCACTGAAGGAAGTATTAGTCCTTGAGCGATCCGATAATCCGCAGGTCAATATCGGTTCATTTTGTTAGGTGCATTTAATGCTATATTAGAGAAGCGGAAAGTATACTGAAGTGTGTGTCTGATGTGCTGATGCTCCGAGATATCCAGGTGTTTCTGGAGATTCTCTTCGAAACTTTTGGTAGACACTGGTGATAAGTAAAGCTTATTTGAGAGATGAGTCTTCAGTCTGTCTCCATTTGGTAACTTGGCTTGATCTCGACATCCTTCAAAGTTGAGCGAAGTGATTCTTTCATATATAAATTCTAATAATAATAATAATTTAAAGTCAATTTAAATTACTTCATTTTAGCAATTTGAACTGCTCTGTGAACGTGCCAGACAAATAGCTGAAAAGCATTACGACGGTAAATTAGCGAACGGTTGTGAACTACACTTATTCAGACATGATTATAACTCGCCAAATATGCTGCAGCATTTGGCTTCTGTTACCCAGCTGGTATTCCATTTCCGCATTTGTTGTGACCGTTTGCGCATAAGTTCCGGGCAGCACATGTACTTGAGGTTTCGGTGATTAGTTTGATGAGAATTGAAGAAGTCAATTTGAGGATAATGGTTGTATCGTGGAGATAATTTTGATAGATCGTAACGAACGACCAACACGTCCTCACGTGCTCGCTGTTACGTCATATATGACTCCGACATTTTGTGATTATTGTGGTGAGATTCTGGTTGGCTTAATCAAGCAGGGTTTGCAGTGCGCCAAATGCCGGTATCAAATTCCTATTAGTTTTAGTATATCCGAGTTTTCCATTTCCAGAAATACTTTTTTTTTTTCAAATATTTCATTTACTGTTAAATATTGGCGTTTTTCAATTTGCATTTAAAAATAAAGTTCAATATTTTTGTAGATGTAATTTTCATAAAAAATGTGCATTTGCGCCAAGGAATAATTGTGCCAAAAATAGCCTAACTACGATTCTTCCAAGTACTGCTTCTACAGGTATTTGTATTCTTTACTTTTCTTTTTTGAACGAAAGCAAGAACAACTGATTTCATTCTATTTGGAACGTACGTACGCTGCTTACGTGATAACCAAATCGTAATTAATTACTTAAACTAATTGCTATACTTGTAGATGATCTTCGATGCCAGCAAGATGCCGCATTTGCCTTGCCGCACACATTGGCTGTACATAATTACAAGACGCTCACTATTTGCAAAGTGTGTGACAAAATGTTAATTGGTCTAATGAAACAAGGACTGCGTTGCCGTGATTGCAAGGTTCCACAACACAAGTTTCAATTAGCTAAGTAGCATTCATCCGCTGATTGCTACTTTCCTCCAAATTTAAATGTTTTAGAAAATTTGTTGTGAACAGGTGGTTACCATGCGGCACTCTTTCAGGTTAACGTCCATAGGAAGTGCGCTTCACTGTTACCTATGAATTGTCAGATAGCAGACGGTGCTATAACACCTTCGTTCGATCAGCTAAGTGTTGACGATGATACGTCGTTGCTTTCGACTGCGTATGATGAAGCTGCGGCACAGGAAGAGACCGATTCGATGATACCGCTTGCTCGGTTGCCAGGTTTCCGGCTTTTCCAGTTCTTATTTCACGTATACGTTGATGGTTAACAAATCTAAAATGGTATCAATTTTGAATTTGAAGGACAAGCATCAACACGAGTTACAAATCGACAACCAACAGTGGAAGGATGGATGATCCATTTCATGCTTGATCAACCTGAACGACGTCTTAGACACTACTGGATTCTTTCCGGTGGTGCCATTAATATGTACAATGAATATAATGAAGGTAGCAAATGATGTAATTTGTTAAGAATTCTATCAAACAGATCCATGCGAGCGGTGCTGAATATGCGAAAGAATTAGAAATTCTTATTATGGAGCTAAATGTTGCATTAAATTAAAATTTTAAGTTTGGAATTTCTTTTTTGATGTGAAGCTAAAATTTTGAAATTTTATTTAAATAGGTGTAAATCCACATCGCATTTATCGAACTATTCCACTTGGTGGCATAATGGTTTTGACGCCGTATAATGGACCGCCTTTGCATTCAAGGTTTATTGTTATGAACTCAGAAATTTAAAAATGTGAAATTTGAAATTAAATCTTGAACTTCTGAAAGCATTCCACTCCACTCCACGATACTTTTATTTCAAAATGTAACAAGAATGGAATGAAATCGTGAATATGAAATGCACCCATTTTCAATAAATTTTATTCTTCACTTGTCGATTCGCTTCCATTTAAGAATGAAATTTTAAAAATTCAAATAGCTTTATCAAATTAATTTTAAAATTTAATTTCTTGTTCCAATTTAAATATTCCTTTTATAACTCATATATAATGGAAGCAATGATTCACAGTACGTATTTATTCAAATTAATTCGTTACTTTGCAGTTTTCCGGCTCACTGTTTTGAAATCCGGACAACATCGCATATGGTGTACTGCGTAGGTGAAAATTTAGATGTGTACAGTGCTCCTCCTTCAAAAGTTCCACGTCACGCAAGTGGGAAAAGTAATTCAAATGCGCAAATGTGGTTTCAGGTGATTAATTGATTATATTTTTTCATCAGACATCTTCACTTATTCTAAAGGAATTTAATTTCTCGAGATAGATGTGACTGATATTTCAAAGGAAGTGAAGAAAGTCAAAAGACAATATAACTAGTGAATTTAACTGATACTTAAATGGCTTCATGAAGACTTTCTAGGCTTTGCAACAAGCATTGCGACCGCCACCATCTAGAAACGACTCGTCAAGCACAGAACCAGCATTACAATTCACCGAGTTGTATCAGGTTCATTTAATTCAAATGTTAATTAATTTCCAGGCAGCAGCACTCACTTCTATAAGTTATAAGGGAACTTGACTTTTCCTAATTTTTAGAACTTTTTTGCTATTTTAAAGTTACTTCATTTTTGATTCGGTAAGAATCAGAAAGGGAAAATTTATTTCGTCAGATTTTGGGAGATAAAACACTTGGATCCGGACAGTTTGGTACCGTTTATGCAGGCGTTCATCGACAAAGTGGACGTGAAGTTGCTGTAAAGGTAAGCGTTTAGATTATTTTAAATTTCAAACATTGGTTTTTTTGTTTTTGACTTAAGTCATAACTAATCTCTTTCTTTATTTCATGGCTTGCTAATGATAATAAACAAGAGATAGTGCTAATTTACCTGATGCAAACAACAGTTCATCAAATTTATTAACCTACAAATTTTGGAGGATAGTAGAAGTAAGCATAAGCAGAGAGATAAGCTTGTCAATATCAGTGATGATAAAATGTAATTGTTGACAAGTTGACAAGTTGAAATTTGGAAGAGTTGAAGGATTGCTGAAATGCGTTCAGGTAATAGCAAAGGATCGCTTTTCAAAGAAGTCACCGGCGGGAGTGGACACATTGCGAAGTGAGGTAGCAATTCTGCAATCGATTAGTCATTGCGGTATTATCAAGCTGGAATCAATGTTCGAAACAAAGGATAAAATTTTTGTGGTAATGGAGAAAATGAATGGTGACATGCTGGAAATGATTTTAAGTCAGGTATGTTGAGAAGTGTATCAATCATTTCTGTAATCTCAGGTATGTTGAGAAGTGTATCAATCATTTCTGTAATCTCAGGTATGTTGAGAAGTGTATCAATCATTTAGAAAAGTTTGGAAAGAAGCCTTCGTTACCTAGTTAAGTGCTTGAGGACAAGAAAGTCGGAATATTTGCGTTATATTAAACAATTTTTGCTGTCGAAAATAAATGAAACTTACAATCACTTACTGATAACAAAGAAAAGTTGAATATTTCATCTCACTTCAAGAATTTCCACTCTTCTTAATTCATTTTCAGGCTGCGGGTCGCCTGGACGAACGAGTTACCAAATTTTTGATAATACAAATTTTGTGCGCCCTTCGATATTTGCATTCAAAGGGAATCGCACATTGCGATCTCAAACCGGAAAATGTCCTACTATCTGATCTCGTCAATGTTTTCCCTCAAACAAAACTATGCGATTTTGGCTATGCTCGATTTATCGGTGATGCTCAATTCAGGTAGTTCATTGTTCATTTTGAAATTTAGTTTATAAGATACTCGAGAGTTTAACCTGATGAGATATACGGTCTACGAAGTGCTGCTTTAATGAGCCGTTAAGACTAAAACTTGTAAGGCCTGGAATGTTTTCCTCGGTTACAAGAAATGTAACTGACTGTAAAGTATTGTCAACTTAACAAATTGTAAGGTTAACTCAGTTTCATGGATGAGGGAAGAGAAATTGCTTCATTGGTGATAATTTCAGGAAAACGATTGTTGGTACTCCGGCCTATTTAGCTCCGGAAGTTCTTCAAAAGCGAGGTTAACTTTGAAAGAAAAGAATTTCCTTCATTTCCCGAAATTACTACTTATTCAGTTACTTGTTTGTTGTAAATTATCTTTGTCAATCACTTACTGCTTGATATCATTTCTCGGGATCGCATTCTCGGGATTTAACTGCTTTTCATCAATCTAATGTCAAAGATAATTTGTAGGTTACAATAAATCGCTCGATATGTGGTCTGTTGGTGTGATAATTTACGTGACGTTAAGTGGTACATTTCCGTTTAATGATGGCGAAGAAATTGCTGAGCAAATACAAAATGCTGCCTTCATGTTTCCGGCTGAGCCGTGGCAACAGATATCACGTGAAGCTATTGACCTGATTCAGAGATTACTTAAAGTGAAGGTAATAGCCGTCTTGTGGTGGTCAGATGGCATTGACTGGAACCGTTCCGTCATTTGTTACCTGCACCACCGTTAAGTCAACCGTTAAGCTATCCATCCCAGACAGATAGAAAATCAAAACATTTGGAAATTCTATTTATGTCCGCCACATTTCGATATTGCGGGGCGTTCCATGTGGAGACAGTAGGTCAAAGGTCGAGGTCGTTGTATTCTCGACATAGAGAAACCAATGCCCAATAGTCGGAGTTTGCAGATTGAGGAGCGTTTGTCGATTGATGAATGCATGAAACATGAATGGCTGGGTGGAGCGCAAGTTTACATGGACTTAAGACGATTGGAGTTGCAGTTGGGCGGAGAACGGTACCTGACAAATGCGGAAGATGACGTCCGTTATGCTCACTTTTTGGCAAGTGAAGAGCTTATCACTCAGCAGATTCCGCCGCTGATCTGAGAGATACAGAAATTGATGCGAATTTTTGTGAATTGATATCTTGTCACTAACAAGGTAGCTGACAAAAGCTGTATCAAGTAGCTGGGTTGAAATTATCAGGTGAGAATAGGAATGATTTTTTGTTGGAGAATTTGAATAATTTCACCTTGTCATTCATGGCGACACGTAGAAAGGTGGAATTATTTTGATGAAAAGAAAAACTTTTTTGATGCAAATTCGTCAATCACTTTGCGCTGCAGTTATTCCGGTGACACACCTACCTGAATCGATATTGGAAAAAGGTGTGGTATGTGATGGGAATATTTGAATTCAAGATTATAGTCTGAATTTTACACAGATTCCTGAAGTCTCTAAAGTTTTTTATCTTTTGAATAACTTTGAGTTTTCATTACATAATTATTTGATTCAGTTTTTATGCATGTTTAAACCTTATTTGAAAGTATTTTCATTGCATAAATTTTTGCCTTCTTGAAATTTTAGCAAAGAATTTTGAAGTAATTTCTGTATAATTTGAATTGATAATTTGAATTGAAAAGAATGCTAAATTATTTGAATAATATCTGCGTGACTTCCCTTTTGACATATAATCAAGAATTATGGGAAAAAAGAAGTGCGCGGCGAATATTCCGAATCAATGATCAAAAGTAAAAAAAAAAAAAATCGATTGCTTCTATGATCAAAAATGAAAATGATTTTCCAATAACTTATGAACTTCTATTGTTTAAGAAGTTAGAAATTCAGCCGTTCAGATAGAGGTGACCTTTCGCCTTTAGTTACTTTTGTTGACCTTTGTTGCTTATGGCTAATATGACTTTTCCGTAAGTTTGGTTCAAAAATGATACGAGTGAAGTAGAGAAGAGAAAATCGAAATATCTGCAATTAAAATTCAGATTGATTCGGATCAATATTTCGTTATTCTGGAAACGTAAAAGTGTATTGCTTACGATGCATAAATATTTAAGAATTAATCCTTGCAGCAATTACGTGGCACAGATTTTTTCACTTTTGTCAACGTCGAATTTGCATAAGTGCCAAAGGTCATAGAGGCTATCACGAAATAACTTAAATTCAATTTAAAATCTTAACTTTTTCACATAAATATTCGCATAACTGTTTAACTTGAATTTTCACATTACATTTAAATTTTTTATTTAAACTAATACAAAGAAAGAAATGAACGTTGCTTGACATATATTTGAAGATTTGAAATGGTCCAGTTGAAAGACTGATATTTTAATATGTTGCTTATCATTCTATTAACCTCGATGCTGAATAATTTTATAAAATCTCGATGCTGAATAATTTTATAAAATCTACCCTCGATGCTGAATAATTTTATAAAATCTAAAATTCGACTTTAGAAGCTGAAAAACTAATATTTATGAAGTTGCATTAAAAGTAATACTATCAAAAATTTCTATTCTCATTTTAACACAGCATTCCATTGAACATGCCTTACATTTTTCACGAGATGCTACTGCAGTCATACGTGGTGCACTCACGTAAACCAAGTGAAGAGTGCGTGACAAGTGCACGTTGATGGAATATGCTTCTCACTTTGAATATTCGTTTATTCACAAGCGATCAACCCATCACGGCTAATCCTCAGAGAGTAAACATGAAAGATGCATAATTTCAATCGAATGAATCACATATATACATAGCACAAATAATTTGTATGAAACAATCAGATTTGAAGTATTTCATAAAATTAGTTGCATTTCAATAGCGACAAGTTCGCAGATTTATAGGAAACTTAAGAAACTTGCTAATGAACAATTTTTCATTTTAAATTTCAAATATTAAAATAAAAATTTGTTTATCGGTCCTTTACTTACTCAATTATAAGATGTCGGATGATAGCAATCGGAAAGGACCGATATTTTAAGTTAAAAATGGTATGGAAACGAACTGTTTAAAGCATCAAATGAGATGCAACAAATTAATACGGAAACATCAACAAATAAGTAAAGCAGTTTATAAAGTTATGTCATGGGTAAAATCTCTTATTTTCCTGATTTGTTCGAATTTTCAGCAGTTAACTCAATGAAACAAAAGGAAAAACCGGCCATATTCCTGAATAATGTTTTCATAGAAAATTAATTCATCGTTTCCGAAATGTTTTAATCAAACTAATCTCAGATCTCCGGTTTTCCGATATCCTTTCCTTTCTCATTTTCTTCACGCTTCCTTTCCTAATTAAGCCTTACTCATAACATTTCCAAAATTTACACAATCATAAAAACAAAATAAAAGCACAAAAAGAAGGCAAAAAATTATAAGAGCAAGAGGAGATCATTTACCTGTATTATTTCTCTACGTGTATAAAGAGACGCAAGTGAAAAAAGTTCGGAAATCTGATCGGAAAGTAATTAGGAGATGAAATTAAAAAAGTGACAAGCTACATCAAACCACGCAACATCTAAAAACTTTCTCGACCTCCCTCATTTCTGTTTCCGGTCAGCTTCAACTCTCCAAAGTTAATCAGCTATCAGTTATTATTCCTATCTCACATCATTCCAGTACTTTCATAAACCGGATTGAAATATCGTAAAAGTAAGACGTCAACTTTAGCAGTTTGCAATAAGCAAATTCATTTGTCAACATTAAATGATGAATAGTTGACAAGCGCTGTTTAAACTTATATCTTCAAAATAACTATGAAGTTTAGAAAAGATACAAATGTTAGCAGAGATGGAATAAAGAAAAGTGATCTTATGACTTCAGCCATTTCTTCCCTTCTACTAAAATTAATTTATACTATTAAGAACGGAAATAATTAAGGATTGAAGTGAAATTCCTCGAAGAGTACCTGTAACCCGTACCTGTATTAGAGATAAATGTGGTAGACATTTGGAATGGAATTTCTTCTGCTAAATGCTAATTTTTAGCAGTAGAAGTGAAAATGATATCACTATTTTGCATAGATCAAAGAACACTGATATTTATGTTCGATGCTTCAAAGTTACTGCGAAGTGGAAAGAATAGATCGATTCGCAGGATAAAATGATAAAAAATAACTTAGAATGTTGTTTAGCCCACCGAGGAATTTCGCTAATGCTATAAATAAACTTTTTTAACCTTATAATCCCTTGGTAGAGTACTGTTATTCAAATATGTTACAAAATTTTTTTCTGTCGGAAATTTGGGTGTCACAAAACCGGAGTTGACATTACTACCGAAATTTAAAAATGGCGTGCCATTTTGAGGTACACCAGAAGCCAATGATACAGTATCCTTTCCAGGTCCGGTACCGTAAACATGCTCCAATTTGGCACCAGCTAAGGAGTCGTGACGTGTTAAGCGTGCACGTCCGTATGAATCATAACTTCCTTAAATGAAAAAATTGAATCGTTTTGATTGACATCAGGTTAGAAAGTAGACAATTGATTAATAATTGAAGAAAATCTTGTGAATTTAGTAAGGTTGATCCAAAAAAGTAAGTGAACCGTAAATAAATCTGTCAACCTGTAGAAGAACCGGGCGAACGATGCTGACCATCCTGTACTGATCTCCACTTGGAAAACCGGTAGCCGGCAAAGAAGCCACAGGCGGAAGCAATAGCCATCGTTATCAAAACAGCAATGACAAGTCGTTCACTACCGGAATTGTTTGCTTTTTCGTCCGATGAAGTGACGCGTTCCGAATGTAACTCTAAAGTAACTGTTTGAAATCGACAATGGAATTCACTGCTAGCGGATTAAAAAGATGCCATTACTGTCTGATACGAGGGAGAGAGAAGAAGCAGGGACAGTGCCGGATCGACGTTTCATCAAACCGAGCAGCGCCTCCTTACCGTCAATCGCGTAGTAGTCAGGATTCACGGCGCCTTCAGGACATTGCTCCGACTGTCCGAGGAGTATGTTTTGGACGAAATTCTCGCCTGACCACACGCTGCGACCAATACAACGTGCACTGTCTAAATCCCATGCACAGTGTGCGTCCTGCAAGTGCACGCAACCTGCACAATTCCGTTGTTCCGAACAATATTCCAGCGGTACTGCCGCTATTTCGTCTGCACTGACCACAATCAACTGCAATTCATATGAAAAATGTTAACTGATTAATCGAGAATTGTCATTTTCAATCATCGAAAAATTGTGGAAAATCTTATGAAAAATGTTTAGAAGGCTTCAAACATGCAATTCTGATATGTGTGATATAATCAGTTAGTAGTTAATTAGTTAGTTACCTGCTCATTGGTAGCCATCAAATTAATGATCGGTGAATTCTTGGGGAAAACTTTCACCGACTGAACGATTGTTGTAGGACCATCTTGGGGGTCATAGAGTTTCAGGACATGTCCATCTGAGGTACCAATGTATAAGGCGTTATGTGTTGCTCCTTTTTTAACTGAATGAACCTGTAAGAGAGGTATTTAGATGCTTATCACAGATCACCAATCACTTATCATTAATTAAAATTTAATTATCAGTAACAAATTCTAATTAACATCCCAGCGATCTATTTAACTACAATTTATTCGTCTCCACTTCCTTTATCAGACAATATAAGAATGATGAAACTTTGTTATTAAAAAAATTGATTTTTAACAGAAAACTAATATTCGTTTAAAAGAATATATATAAGAATTAGTCATTTTGTACGACACCGCCCGAAACTTTTTTAAAACTTTTTTTTTTTGTTGAAACGAATTTGCAATCTTTCTTCTTTCAACGATTTAAGATGAAGCAATTTCGAGAATTTAAGCACAATCAGACAACACTGAGATCATTTTGATGTATACCAGAGTTCTCTTTGACAACACACAGGTATAAGTAGCAGTAAATATGAATTTTATACCTTTTTTTAGGTATCAATTCCTGATTATAAAATTTTAGCTAAAAAAAAAATCTTTATCAAAAAAAAAAAATCACAAACTTTTGGGGAAATGGCAATCTGTGTGAATGAAGCACGTTCAGGTCCCTGAACAAGGATTGGTTTTGAACGTACCGCAGGTACCGCTTCATGCATCAGTGGATTGCGTGCGATGAACGAAA